ATAAATATGATTGCCGAGCTTGTGTGACATAAAATGAACGGTAATCACCGAGGCTTTGCTTTTCTAGGATTTCAGACTTCAGCTTATTACGAGCATCTGTACCAAAAAACTTATTAAATGTTTTTATATTAAGGTGTCCATGTATGTAATGGTCTAGTCCATTGGACTTGAATACGTCATTTATATGATTAAAATATTCATTTTTTGATAAGTTAAGTTCGGTTAAAATCATTATGCAATATCTTGTACAGGGTAGAGAATCAAACCTAGCAAAATAAGTGATCCTTTGACGGTCGATATAATTTGTTAAGGGATTCCTATCCTAACTCCGATAACAAAAGCATTTTGGAAAGTTCATTTTAGAGTTTATTAAAACTTTTGAGACTTTGTACTGCCAGCTGTCTAGCATTTCGGTTCCGGATATTGACGTAGGGTACCATACACCAAAAGCATGAGCAATAGATGGACGAATAACTGAAATCCATAAAGCACAGTTAAAATTAAACCAATTAAAATCGCCATGTTCTCCTAAGACATCAAATATGTATAACAAGAAGTTTTGTCGCAGAACATTGATTGGTCAGATGTAAATGAGGTATGTATAGGGTTTTGATTTCCTCGATTTTAAAATAGAAAATCGTTATATTGAAAAGTTGGAATTCAAAATTATAAATTTACCCCTTACTTTCATAAAACTATTCTATGGTCTTATCTGAATGCTAATTATAACAAATAAATAATTAAATAATTTAATGCCATTTAATCAGTCCGTTTTGGATGCAATGAGGTAACTGTTATTTGTCTATATCAGTCTGAGTACTGTTTGACTATCATTTGTGTTGAATATATTTAGACTCGAACAATTTAGGGAAATTAGGCTTCTGTAAGTGTTTTTGTATGTACTTGTCTTATGTTTTTGACGGTTTGTGAGTCAGTAAAAGTTCAATCATTAATTTGATATTAACGTTAAAAGACCTCCTCACAAAAAGAGCTGTTCAAATCCCCTCTCCGTTCTGGCTCGGGGATCTCAACATCACTTTTTGTCTTTTAATATCAGTATTAACTTATGATTGAGCTTTTACTATTACTTAAAAAAGTATTGTGTTTTAATTTATAAACTCTATGTAAAGATACGTAGGTTCTTTTTGATCAAGAAGAAATATGATTAACATTGCAAAGCTTCATTATAACATTGAAAAGCTGAGTCCGGGTCACCTGATACCTCATGACATACTCCAAGTATGGTTTATGAAATAGATAATTCTCTTTCACGCTATGGTTAATGTTAGAATTTAAAGCACAAAGTGAAAGTTCTCTGTTGACAATCTCATCCAAATGATGATAACATAAAAATCGAAGACAATAAGCAATTACAAAAGGGGGTATATCGTCCTTGTCAACCTTCGACTGTAGTTCTGCTTGTATGAATAATGATTGATCCATGTATTTAACACAGTCTACTGTAGCTATTTTCATCTTTGCATTCAGGGTTATTGAGTTATGTACACGTTGTCCAAATTTATTATTGTATTCTTCATTATAATTACCACAGCCTATATATACCATATCAGGTGAACTTCTTAATAGAACATAATCCGTTAGTCTCAGTGAAACATTGTAATGTCCAGTCATATAATAAAATGACGAACATAAAAATACTAGAAATAACTTGTATTTGCTATTTACTATCCACAGCAGTCACTGATGTGTTATGTTATATAACATATCAGTGACTACTGTGGATAGTAAACTTGGAATTCATCATGTTGATAGTAAATGCAAATAATTATTTCTAGTATATTTATGTTCATGTAATATGTATAGATAAAAGGCGTAAATAATTGACACTGACAGAAAAGAACAGATTGTAGGGAAAAAAGGGGGGCTTAAAAAAACCATTCGGTCCCCTTGTACCTTGGTTATGTGGTTTTCTCTTGAACAGACATACATGCAGATCGATACTTATTCCCAGCCTACTAAATGGTGTATTTACAAAATGAGTGGTTAACCATTATATTTGAGAGGAAAACATAATATATCCGATTATGATATGAATGATTTTAAGCCAAAATATCTTATTTACCTGAAGTCTTTGATTGTATATTCATGATATTTGCGACGGTTGAAATCAAATCACGAGATGTTGATGGTCTATCTATTTGATTCTGTGGCGGCGTTGGACAGGATGATCTTTCAGGCGTCGGTGGTGTTGGTAGTGGTGGTAATTCACAGTCATGGAGTCGGTTTTTTTTACATTGCTTCTTGCCGGGAGACTTCCTTGGTGATCTGCTTGGTAATTGTGACTGAGTGACTGATGATCCTGATGAGGATTTCTTTGGACGTTTTCTAGGCGATGTTCTAGGTTTATCTTAATTTGTACTTGATTTTCTTGGAGATTCATGTGAATTGGAACTGATTTCACCATCACTTTCTTGGTAATCATATTTTGGATTAGGCCTACAAGATAAGAAAAAATATTCATACCGTAAAGTTTTAATGAGTCTGACTAGAATCATTGATTACATTTTTACTTATAAGCAGTGGACTATATTAACGTATTCAGAAAATTACTAGTAGTCATGAGGAACCATGAATAGTAAAGTAATCGATAGTTCCTAAATTGAAAAATATATTCTTTCTCAAAATTTATAAGCAACTGTACAATTGGTAATATTCACATCTATTGGCTTCTTATGATTAAAATAAGATTAGAAATTCGCGTGAATACACCAAACATCAAATAATTTATAAAGTAATTATATACTCTTTAAATGTTGGTAATATAATGTTTTATGGTTAAATAGTTTTGTCATGACAATACTATAGTTTTACAAATGCTTTTCTTATGTTGGAGACTACTATTTGAAGTCTGGTTCATATCCATGACAAACAACAAAGAAAATTATCTTCGTATGAAATTCCTGGGGTTATATGTCTCATCAATTTGAAATAACCTATGTCGTTAAAAACACATTTGTATATCCGGTTTCAAGATCATTTTGATGATGACTTTTTTTATGACAGTTAAATATAATCATGATATGACTTTTGTACGTACAACATATATTAACAGTGTTCTCTAATAAAAATTATCAAAGTTGTCGTATATCAGATTTCAAATACTATCCTCTGACTGGACACTAAAGTCTGTAGTATGATACTTATATCTTATGTAACAAGAAGATCAGTGTCATGTTATCTGTGAATAGTTTACGATCTCTTTAAAATCATACTCAGTTAAAATAAAGTAGATTCAAATAATACACATTATTTATCAACATGATAATGCTTTTGATGAAATTGGAAAATTTCTTCTTTCGTCTTTTTTTTATAGCTGTTCATATTGATGTTTGTTTAGTTATTTAAAAAAAACAATAATCACATATATACATTTATTTCCTCATTTTTGCATCAAACTGTTGTTTTTTTTCATTTAAAACTAACAGTTGTCTTTTTTCAAATGCTTGCAGTTTCGCTTACCAACATGTTGTTGATAGTGAAAAATTACAAGTACACATGTTCTAAGCATTATTAAGGTTTGACTTTCGAACAAAATGGTGTTAGGGCTATGCCTTTCTATTTAAAACAAGTCTTTAACTTCGACTTCCAGACATGTTGAGTTGAATTGAAAATACATTTTTCATAATAATAATAACAGTTTAAGATATATCAACCAGAATAGCTATATAATCTGTAAATTTACCGATTGTATCTTTTTCCCAAGTGTGTTATTTGAATTAGCATTGCGGGTGATACATAAATAACAAGAGACACTTACCCTGTCGAAGCACCCAGTCTCGATCCTTCTGGAGTTCGTTCGATTTCTTCAGTTTTTGTTTGAGACCTTGATTGAATCTTTTGAATTTCTTAGGTTTTCGGAAGCGGTATAGATGTTCCTGTGTTCGTTTAAAAAACTCCCGTCCTGTTTGTCCCACATATTGTTTACCACACTTTGGCTTCGTTCATGTAACCAGATAAATGAGGCTTTGGGTTTTTCATGTAATGTCACAGGAAAAGGAAAGCGAAAAAGCTCTCCCGTTCACTGTTGACCTTACAGTATTATCAGAAGATAATCTAGATCAGGTTTGTCATTTTTTGGCATTGCACGGAAATATTTGTGGATATCCACGTGCATTTTTATTTAATAATCTGGCTGCAGCAGCATTGCCACCTTTGACACAATTATAAAAAGTGCTAAATTTAGATGGGGAATTTCGATTGACGGCGGATTGACATGCATTTTCTTATGTAGTAAATGGTGAATTGAATCCGGTTCTATAGTTAGCTAAACCTTTCACTTGTATGAGAGTAGCATAACATTCCTTATAACATACTTGACTATGCGTCGCTAAACAGTAATAAACACGAATGTTTTTTTACGTTTTTACTCTTAAGAATATGTGTATGTACTGATTAGTATTTAAGTCTGAGAAAACATTATTTGTATATTACATGTAGTTCTAATTGGCCCTGAACTAGCTTTCAGTAACTGAGATTTCTCTCAGATCGGTACTTAGTACTTGTTTAGTGATTTTGTAAGTGGTATATGCTTCGTGTCGAGAATTTGCAAAATGAAAATAAAATTGCATTGTAGGTCATTGATGTTCTTCCCCTTTGTACTTTATTTAATCTATTCAACTGTTTGTTATTTGTGCACAACTGACCAGGCATTTGTAGGCAACACGCGCCATTTGAATCCTGGTATCTGAAATGAGTTTATTGAATATTTTTTAAATATACATTTATATATATAAAGACCTAAAAAGTGCACAGAACAACACCAATAGTATAAAACACGAAAAAGCATTATGAAAGTTAATTATCTATAAATATTTCGGATCATTCCTGTGGATAAATTAAGAAATTGTTTTAAGTAAACACATATTCCATCAGCCTCTAGCTAAAGTAAAAAAAAGGAGTTTTTTGTTCATGTAAATGGAACATCAATGAAATCTTTTTACTAAGTACATACGGATCACATTAAATATCTGCCATTGACACAAATTAAGTAACACGTTTATTCACCAGATACATATATTTATTAAATTATACGTTGATTTTTATCTTTTTTAAGAAATACTGCTACTTATTCAATATATTTAACATACTAAGTTCAATGAATTCTAAGAATAATATTGGTTTTTTTTTCTATTTAATAGGTATAATATCAATAATTTGCAGAAGTTAAAGCTTGCAGCATCCAATTGTCTCAATCTTCAATTTTGTAATCTTCGTTCCATTTTGCGATAATCCAAGAAATCACTAAAAGATCTTTTAGTTTCTGAAAAGAAAAGATCACAATATAATGGTACACCGTTAAAAATACGATTAGACGTAGTCCTCCTTAAACTATGAAGTAACAATTATGAAACATGCAAGGTGATATAAAAATATTCTTAGATTGAGTACAACTTTAAGTAAAAAGAAATTTGGAAATCTATTTTGAGATTATTTTGTAAAGTTCCATTAACATGTCTTGTTATAACGTAACTGTCTGAGTTGAAATAGAATCAGATGACATGTTTTAATTATATCATTCAAATCATAAATTGAACATTTGTAATATTGTTAATATACACATGATACAGTACTCGTTCAAAAATGAGTCTTATTGGAACAATTCTCTTTAATCTATACACATTTTTAAATTTTAAGAAAACAAACTTGAACTCATTTCCTTATCGATCTGGATGAAAGATTTATGATTTAACTTATGTAAGTTTTTTCTCATATTTTGTTTATTTTACTTTTTCCAAATTCACACATTAACTTAATTTTCTGAAGTCAGGAGTTGATTTAGGTATTACGATAATGTATATAGTGATATAAAACAGTTTACAATTACAATAACGTTCAAATTTAAATTTGAAAATGTATTTTCCATAAGAAACCTCAATTTTATTTAATCAGCTTGAAAAAAAAAATTGAAAAGAACTAAGGTCAGAATGTTTCTTTGAGAAATAATTGCATTTATTACTTTTAAATGAAATACTGTATTATGATTGTACAGGAAAAGTATGTTCATGTTATGACATTAAGACACTAGTATATGAATAAAAAAACTATAGAGGTACCATTGCATTAAGTTAAAAAGTTACGTTAATGATTGATAAAATAGGACAAGCAAATTGCAATTATATTATTATGGTACTTCAAGATTTATTTGTTTCACAATACTTTTATAAAGATCAACCTACTAGTATGTATCTATCTCAATTAACACAAATGTCAATAAATCATTGTACAATCGTGATTTCTATATGAAAAATAATTAGAAAAACCGTAAATTTATTAAAAACAACCAATCAAAGTTAATTAATTCGGCAATGTGTTTTGGATTGTAATATGCAATGTATAGTACATAGTGTTGTCATGCACATTTTACTATTATGTCATATTGTGCCTTGAAATGTATGATACAGGTAATACACGTTTTACATTTTGTACTAAATCTACAAACAATGTATGTGGTATACTGTTTCATCCTTTACCTTTGCAATCATCCTCATCAGACCGATCACGGCAATCATAGTCTCCATCACACACAAACCTGTGAAACACGCATTGAATACCATCTTTGCATTTTACAAATCCTCCAGTACATTTGGTTACTGTCAGAAGAAAACATTATATACCAGTATTTAATTTTAGAGGTCAAATATTCACAGTTTCTATACTAGCAATTCGAAACAAAGTTACATGTAGTATGACTATTTCGACTGTTATGTAATCAAGCAAAAATGTTCAATACAAGGATTTTGTAATGCAAAAGATACAAGAGGAAAGCAACATCTTTTTAAATGTTTTATTTTTTGTAATACATATTCTTACACTTTTCCTTAACTATTTTTCGCTTTTTAAAGATTTTAAAATCAAGCAAAAATACAGATAAAAATGATCAGGTCAATCGTTTTAAATGATATGAGAAAAAAAATGTTCTACTGGATAATTCTCACTTGCTTATCAATCATTTTATGTCTCTCTTCTACAAAGATCAGTATGAATAATTTATAGTTAGCTTGAAAAGACCAAGATATGACAAAATATAAAACAAGTATAAATAGAAAGGAACAGCCTAATTCCTACTCTAACAATAAACAAGAAATACAGACCTTTTGATTCTCCCTTTTTAAATATAACAGGCTTTCAATGTGCCTCGACAGGCGCGTTTGTTGACCCAATAAGTCTTATTAGTGGCATTTGTATCAATAGCCTGGCATCTTGACCCAATCTAATACTTTGTCGATAGGGCCAGGAGTAATACAATCCACGTGACCAACTATCAGCGCTAAACAGGACTGAATTACTGCGCATGTGCATGTTGTATAAGCAAGGAATATATTGATCGCATCGTTAATTAACAGTTGATTCACGATGTTTATCAATAACGTTTGCATTATACGTGCTAAATTTTTCGAAATTTGCATTTCATATGAAATGAAAAATAATTTTTAATGAATTCGTGACAATATAAATATTTCCCGCCATGTGTCAACAAATGACGCTATCCAACGATGCATCATTCTAACATCCAATTGTCGAAACCATGTCGTTGTTTTTCGCCTGGCTTTACTGTCGAGTAGTGAGCCAGGATCCAGGGCTATTGTATCAACAGTTTGAAAGTCAAATCAAATACGAAGTAAAAAATGGTTAATACAGACACAAGCGAAATGTTCCGCTTGCAGCAAGGCAAAATTATGTATAAACATTTTCAAAGGTTATTCATCATATCAGTAGGCAAACATTCACTATTTTATATATAAAAATGTGAATATGCTATGTTTATCAAATTTCGATATTATGAAACCTTATGTATGAAACAAATGTAACCTAGAAATATATGATTCTGTATTATATTTAATAAAAGTAAAAACTGTTAATAGATATAAGAAGATATGGTATGAGTGCCAAGGAGACAAATCTCCATCTAAGTCACAATTTGTAAAAGTAAATCATTATAGGTCAAAGTACCGTATTCAACACGGAGCATTGGCTCACACCGAATAGCAAGCTATAAAGGGCCCAAAATATGACTAGTGTAAAACCATTCAAACGGAAGAGCCAACGGTCTAATCTAAAAACAAAACGAGAAACGAAAAACTTGTAAACCACACCAACACACGACAACCACTTAGCATCAGGCTTAGTACATGTGTAAATAACTGCAACAGGTTTAAACGTTGAATAAGTACCAACCTTCACCCTTTCCTGAAACAAGAGTGTGACATCAGAACAAAGAAAGACACACTATATTGTTTTACTGAAAATGAAATAACTCAAACAAAAGACATATTAACACAAGTGAAACCTGAACGAAAAACATTTTCTATGAGACAATGTAAATACAAAATCAATAGAATAAGGGGTGAGATTTCAGAAAGACAACCATAACCTTGAATAAAATGCCACCGAATAGAATAATGTGCACAGGTAAATGAAAATAAGTTCGTTGTAAGGTATATAGTAATGGAGAACGGAAATGTATTTTAGAAAATAAATAATTATGTTGTTCATAGTACAAGAACAGAAGTGAAAATGTATAGTCATACCAAACACTTATCAAATCTGGTATATATTAGAATAGAGAGACGAGATATTACAATAAAACATTAAACATTAAATAACATAAGAGCATTTAAAATTGTATTTACAGGTCAAATTAACAAGAAAGTACGATTTGAGAGAACTATCATTTACTGAAACCTAGTTAAAAGCCGAAAACAATTAATAATACAAAATCATGCATCAGAGACTAAAATCAACTTAAACACATCCCAGGGATTTACTTACTTAACGTCATGGACCGTCAAAGAAGACATGACTTGTACAATTCCAAAAACAAAGTATCAATAGGCAGTAGAATAGTTAGGAGTTAACCTCTATATAGAAAAAAATGAACGAGGATGTGTATTTATATATCCGGTTTGAAAAAAATACAAATTTAGTTATGTTTTAATTTGCTGATGACAACATCGATATTTGTGCCAATGTAAACTATATTCAAAGATCCAATTACAACATTGGTAAGATAAACTTTACTAATATGTTTGTTTAAATGTTCGAACATATCTACATGTGGTTTATATTTGCAAAAGTCCAGATCCTCATCTGATTCATCTGGACAATCATTGTATTCTTTACACACGTCAACAATAGGAACACAATGAAGATTATCCTAACATTAAACAAGTACTTTCCGACATTTGACTGCTGTAAGAAATAAAAATCCTCCAATTAAAATGTTTAATTTTATTTCATTTATATGTTTAAATGTTCGAACATATCTACATGTGCTTTATATTTGCAAAAGTCCAGATCTTCATCTGATTTATATTCGGAGTTTAGTGTGACGTCCATTTTCACTGAACTAGAACACAATTTTATCTAAAGGCCAGCTGAGGACCACCTATTGGTACGGAACTTTCTCGCTGCGTTCAAGACTCATTGGTGGCCTTCGGCTGTTATCTGCTCTTTGTTCGGGTTGTTGTCTTTTTGACATATTCCCCATTTCCATTCTCTATTTTATTTTCTAATAAGTCTTACGTGTCAGATGAACAATTCAAACATTTGTTTGCACAACAGTTCCATATTGCTAGAATAAAACTTTCAAAACATTTGCAATAGACATGTACTTACAAAAAATGACAGATTCTGTTATCAAAACACAGTAAGTTGTTTCTGGGATATTAAACAATCAGTTAAACTTTGGGCGTCAGGGGTATACAATTGCAAACAATTTATCTAGTATACTATTTCATCATTTACCTTTGCAATCATCTTCATCAGATTTATCACCGCAATCATAGCCTCCATCACACAGGAACTTGTGATACACACATTCAATACCATCCTTGCATTTTACATATCTGTCGTTACATGTTGTTGCTGTAAGAGGAATATCTATTCATGTATATTTAAAGGTCAGTTGTCACAATGTGTGCACTTTTGATCACTTTTAATGTCATTATTACCATGTCGACGTTTTTGTGATCAAAATGTCTTGAAAAGGATAGATAAAACAACTGAGTGTATGGTTTTTGCTAAGTTAATTTTCTTTCGAGCATTTAAAACAAGTAAAAACATTCGTTTGATCGTTTCGGCGTTTATGTCATTAGCATGCTTTGATAGGGAGTATCAAATACGAACTTTTAGAATTCGTAGTTTTGAGGGGAACCACTGCTTCTTAAAATAGACCAAAGACATATGACTCCTTTGATTTTTATTTATATAAAAAAAACCAAGGTTTTAGTATACCTAAATGTAACTAAAATTAATTTTTGTACCAATTCATTTTCCAAGTTTAATGCAAGTGGTTTATTACATTTCCAACACTTAATTGTAATTAATCCATTATAATCATAAGATGTCATACACAGACATGGTAGCAATCAAAGGAAAATGCTCTCATTCAGGGATATATATTAGATTGGTATTTTACAGTACCTGCTCCCTGTTACTGTTACTAATTCAACGATGAATTAGCGGTCATCGATCAGTCAAGTTCGCGTCTGACTCGCGTCATCAATCCGTCAGACTTATGGTAAACATATTTGACTGATCGGACGGATCGGACAAATTGACCTTTCTGGCGGATTGAACCATACTACTTCATATGATGAACTCGTACAAATTACAGAATCTTAGTTTCGTTTTCATTTTCAAAATTGGTTACTATTTCTTTTCAATCCCAAAAAGTGCTAAAACAGTGTTATGGCGATAATTTTTTTTTTTTTATTTTCCGAAAATGCTCCGAAAAATGAATGAAATGATCATTATTGCAAATTACTGTGAATTATTTCAATAAAATATAGAGATGCGCAAGTTGGAGACTCGAAAAAAATGCAAACAAATTTTAAAATAAATTTTCTCTCAAAATTCATCATATACATAATATAGTTTGGGGCACAACCCAACAAAAATAATCATATCCACTGATGCTTTTAGTGTAATTAAATCTTAATGAAATGAGAGAAAAAATGCACTCCTAGCTAACGTAAAGAAGAATCTAAATATACTAATCCTTATATTATTCACATGTATTCAAATTAACTTATCAAACGTCAATTCAAACAACTGATTGCTATGAACTATGCATTATTTTTGACAAAACGTGGAAATATTGGTATTTTAACACGTTGAAACCATTGAAATCAACAAATAATTGCATTCTTAATGGAAACAAACTAAATGTTACGTATATTTATCCTTATATTGTTATTTATATATTTTAAAAATTACTTAATATCTAAAGGCATTTATAACGTTTGGTTGCAATTGATGTTGCATTAATTCTAAAATAGAAGAAAAATATGAATTTTAAAGTAATGCGAATATCAATTTAGTATATTTTCCCTGAGATCTAGCATATTTTGATGTTTAAAAAAGTATTGAAATGAAAAAGTAGTTCATAATTTATATTAGAATAAAGAAAGTATTGCATTCGTATTAAACACCAACTAAAGTTTCAGTATTTTTCTCCTTATATTATTGAATTTTGTATAACAAAATCTTAACTTAAGGCTTTTGAAAATACTAGTTACACATTAAAAAGGTGCCAAAGATACTAGAGGGACATTCAAACTCATGATCAAAAATAAACTGATAAAGCCAGGGCTAAAAAAGAAAAAGACAAACAGACATTAAATAGTACACAAGACACAACATAGAAAACTAAATACTAAACAACACGAACCCCACCAAAAAACTGGGGGTAATCTCAGGTGCTCCGGAAGGGTAAACAGATCCTGCTTCTCATGTGGCACCCATATAACATTGCATTATGTTTTATCAAAAGAAGAAAAACGGGTACCACGAAACAATGCGAACAGCATTTTAGTTTATTTTCTCTGATATTTTTTTTAATCTTATAAAGAAAAAAAAACCGAAAACTTCAAAAAGTAAAAACACCAATAGCAGTCAATAATTTCCACTAAAATAAATTAATGATTGCATTATTACTAAACTCAAACAAAAGTGTATGCATATTTATCCTTAAAGTATTCACATTTATAACTTATCTAAAGGCATTGATTATGACTGATTGCAATTGAAAAAGATGATACATCGGTTACAAATGTTATCTAACAAAAACACATATTTATAAACGTCACAATAAAAAAAAATAATGGAAAATAAATTATAAATAAACTCATCATAGATGCCTGGAATGAAATTTTGTATTTGCTCCAGACGCGCGTTTCGTCTACAAACGAATCATCAGTGACGCTCGAATAAAAACAGATAAGTTTATTTTCCCTTTTACTGGCACATATATACAATGTATATACATGTACATTAAATCGGCTGAGTGTTATTTTCATTTGATAAGGGGAAACCATGATTCAGATTGTACTATCCGTTGTCTATCAGAATAATTTCAATTACAAATAGTCTAACATGAAGCATGCATTTATTTTGTATTTACATTGTGTCATAGGTCAAATGTATTTGTTCAGTGTATGTTCAATGGTGTTAATATGTCCTTTGATTGAGTTAAGCTATTTCAGTTGATATTTTATAGTGTGTCTTTCTATGTTGTGATGTTACACTATTGCTACAGAAAAAGGGTGAAGGTTTGGTACCATTAAAACGTTTAAACCCGCTGCATTTGTTTGCACCTGTCCTAAGTCAGGAATCTGATGTTCAGTAGTTGTCGTTTGTTGATGTGGTTCATAAGTTTTCTCGTTTCTCGTTTTTTATATAGTTTAGACCGTTGGTTTTCCGGTTTGAATGGTTTTACGATAGTAATTTTTTGGGGCCGTTTATAGCTTACTGTTCGGTGTGAGGCAAGGCTCCATGTTGAAGACCGTACTGTGACCTATGATGGTTTACTTTTATAAATTTTGACTTGGATGGAGAGTTGTCTCATTGGCACTCATACCACATATTCTTATATCTATTGTATGTATTTTTGGTCTTTTGTTGGGCAATGTATGACAAATATATGTTGAAAAACCTCGCTAGTAATTATAAATTATGTAATTCATTGACCGGTCCCGACATGTGTAACTTCAAGGCATATTTTAGCGGCGATCAATGTCTTTTAAAATTACTGCACTTTTCTTGTATCCCTGGTGCTTTCGACTGGAGAGACGTCGTACACAAGCATCGCACAAGTTGGCACTCCGAGGCAAGAAGATGAACTGTGGTTTATTTTTATCAATAGTACCGCTTAAGTCGACGTTAGGGGCCGTCTTGACCTTGTTGTAGGGTATGAATGATTCGTTCATTGTTGAAGACCCTACATCAACTATCAAAATGAAGAACAGGAATAATAGCCCTGTTCATTGATAATTTTCTATGTTTTCTATGTATTGTGTGCGATTTTGTCCCAAGTACATTTACTTTATATCCTTTCATTTTCTATTAAATATAAAGGAATTTTAGTTTTTATCAATTCACTAACTCACCTGATGTAGAAAACAATGTGCAGACTCCATATACAAAGAGGGTCAACAGAAGATACTTCATTTTGTCCTGTAGTAATACATGGAAGATTAAATAAGCACTGTCAAAAGTATCATATCATTTGTAAAATAAATGCGATTTAAATACAATCCCTTATCTTTATTTTGTTTCGTAGTGTTCTTTGTATTTATCTTTGTAAATATTTAACCTGTACAGTTAAGTTTTTGTTTGGTAAAATTCTTTTAGCGTGGCTCGGCATTTATGCATCCTGTCATTATTTTGTTGTGGTATGGTTATTTTATAGTATGCCTATCCATCAATTTTGCTAATGTGCTTTGTCTCAAGAGTGTATATATGCTATTTTTGTTGTTGTTTACATAGTTGCTTTTAATTAAGATTATAACATAATGTTGAACGCTGTACTAAATTTTTTGACATTTAAAATATTACGACTGTTTGTTTTGCAATCACATTGTTGTAAACATAATGCAACTGCATGCAACTGCCATACAAGTGAGAGGCTTAACGAGCTTTTAAAGGTATAATCCACCATTTCATACATAGGAAAATGCCTGTAATAATTCAGGAATATGACAATTGTTTTCCAGGAGTATTCCTTCTCTTTCCGGAGCAGCTAAGATCACTCTGGTTTAAGTAGGGTTTATGTTGCTCTGTGTTTTATTATATGAACTTTTTTTTTGTTTTTATTGCAATGGCGTTGTTAGTTTGTCTTTGCCTTATACACCTTATCGCTAATTGTCCAATCCGGAAAAAGACAGTCATTTAGACAACTTCCTGTTTGGGTTACCAGGCCTTGAACAGGTAAACAACAAAGGTCATCAGTAACGAGCTGAGGGAGGGAAAAATTTAGAAAGCGATCAATACGAAACTTTGATAGATTATGATCCATTTTTTCGAAACTCAAGTTATAGTAAAAAATTATTTTGTTTGAAGTATTTACGATGTTTTAAACAGATCTCATTAAAAAGTATCATGCATGATGCATTGTTTAAACAGGGCCCCAGATAGCTTCAACTGGATAAAAAAGTTGTGTAATTTTAGAACTTATCCGGAATGGAATAAATAGCGATTAGGTGTATTGTCAACAAGTGTTGTTGGTATCTTCCTCCTATGAAGCGGATTCCAAAACTTCTCATTTATTCAAATCTTTTAATTTATTCGAAAATTTCTTCACCAATCAATTTATTTACTTGTTTAAAATTTTCACCGCTTATATCAATATAAAACGTGGATATCTATTTCTTTTTCGTCATTCAATTAAATGCCTTTCTTTCCTTTTTGTATATGGTGGTAAATATAGCGGTGTAATCAGCAGGGAAATCTAGGATACACTGACATTTCATAAGTAGTGAAATTCTAGTCTATCTTGTTCGGTTTATGAAGAATTGTTCTAAAGAAAAACTACTTATTAAAGACTTTGCAGATCATGCATTCGGCTTGCTTGCCATGTTGGGATAATTCGTTTGTTTAAAACTAATTTTGTTTTTAAGCAGAAATTCAAACAGGGATAATACTTTTGAAGTTCGAGACAATATTTAGTAGTTACTTTCCTTTCCGTCATATTTTGGATTAAATGATGTTTCAAACTTTGTGTTATTTAATAAACTTTTTAAGTTTCCCAATCATTTATTTATTTGTATTTTATTTTATATTTTATTCAAAGGAACTTTAATTGTATTTAATGTTGCTTGCCGTGTTTTTTTCTTTTTTCAATACGACCAAACATATAGATCAGAGAGAATACTTACAATTCCTGTACGGAATCTCCTATAATTGCCATTATATATCAAGAGTAATCATAGATTTAGTAATTCTAAATTCAACAGTTCACAAATTTAGTACCGGAATATTCTAATCCAGTCACGGAAAATATTGAAAATTTTACATGCTTACCCAAGAGAGGTCTGTTCATAAAATGATTATGAGAGGCTATTATCCCATGAATTTGTAAGACTCCAAAAGTACTTATAATATCTAATCATAGAGACATTACGAAGTTCGAGATTATTTTTTAAATTACTGTCACATTTTTTGTATTTCATTTTAATAGATCATTAACATTTCTAAATTGGTATTTACGTGTAAAGGTTATATCACGATTTTCCTTTTGGATGAGCCTAATTATAATCATTTTATAAAATTAGTATATATTGCTACAATTTTAAGAATGATTACCAGAGTAGGTAATCATATATAATTAGACACCGGAAAGACTTGAAATTGTTTTTTTCCGTTTCGGCACATTTCAAAATTGATGAACTCTGTGTATATTCGGTTTTTGTAAAAGTTCACATATAATTTGTTACAATTATTGAAATTTAGATATAAAAAATTTCGAACTCCAAAGGAAAATTTAAAACGAAAAGACCTTTATTAAATGGCCAAATCACAAGCTCAAACACACTGAATGAATGGTAAATTTATTGTCATATTACAGACTTTGCACAGGCATTTCCTTATTTAGAAAATTAAACCTGGTTTTATATATAGCTTAACCTTTCAACTGTCAGCAGTCGCATTGAATATCAATATATTGACAATAATGTGTGAGCAAAACAAACAGTTTAAACAGGTAAAAAAACATGCCACATTCAGAAAGTTATATACGCAGTTATTTCGGGGACTTTTAAAGTTGTCTTCTAAATACGTTATCTAACTTGTTTGAACATTGTAATTTACAGCCTTTACTAATTGTTATTTGTATAAAAATATATAAACGTTTACTTGACCATGTAGTATATGTATAAGTACAGTGAATAGGTCTGACAATTGAATTAAATAATGGATAAGACATAACATTATTTATTGTTCATCCAACAGCTGTTGAGATCAAATGACCGTTCCAGGAGAAAATGTTTGTACTTTTTGTAATTAAGACGATGCACATAAAAACATATGCAAATGTGTATTGATTAGTCAATGCTATTTGGAATACCACTAAACAGAAGTCTATAAATCGTGTATTCAAAATGTCAAAGTACTCGTCATCCAAAACTTGTCAATTTTACAAGACTACTTCTAATCGTTTTCAATCTATTTTTTTTATTTAAAGACTAATAAAAGTAGCTTCTCGAACGTATTATCAGCTTGGTTGTAAGTGCTTCCGTAGTGACAATATTAACAATGGTTTACCTACTATTCTAATATTTCCCTTGGAATAATTTATAAATTAGGAAACTAATATTCCAACAGCCTCTAGTAAAGTTAGCTTTATATGAATTTATGTATTCTTTTTATCCCCCTATTGGCCACATGACTCTAAACGTTTCGACGTATTTATACATGAATGGATTTGAAATGTTTGGGTTTGATATTTTCAATGAAGGTAAACCAGAAAGCTCTAAGAACGCAGAAAATGTATAATGTAATTTATTTAGTATCCCTTTCTAAACTCTGATATAATGGATTCCCTGTTAACCAACTGCGTTCTACCTTTGTTGTGATTTTTTTATCTCTTCAAATTGATTCAGATTATGTTGCACATGAAGAAAAACGTTTTCTTTAATCAGATAATAAGAAAAGTAAAATAACGAAGAAAGTATACATCGATATCTGTAAGTAAAGTTTACTGATTGATTAATGGTTATATCCTCTTTTAATTAGAATGTTCACTATTTAGTTTCAAAACAAAAATCTTTTGAAAAGACTGTTATTAAACGATAAATTGATAGTATAAATATAACGGAAGAAAAACAAAATAAGAAATTACTGTGATGTTTGTTTGTTTGATTTTGAGATATAAGCCATTGAAAATTTGGCTGGAATGATTCTCTTCGGAGCATTGTAAGACCCAGCAATATAACGTTGCATAAACATCTATAACCCTGTTTGAAGATTTTCACCCAAAAAAACATAACAATCTTTAAAAAAATATGAGAATGTTCGCGTTTGTATCAAAATATTAAGTTTTTTTCAAAGTCTGTTTTTGATTGATAGTATTTTAATAACAGAACTTAAAAATCAAAGAAATGAAAGGATCCTGTTTCTGTTTTTAAGATATAAACCATTGAAAATTATTCGACAAATGATAAACATGGCACCTTTTTCCCTTCAATAAAACAGAAAAAAAGAACATTTTATAACATTTTATTATAATTACACCATGTTTTATCAAGGCATATAGCATGTATATCTTACACTTGATCTTAAAAGTATTTTGAAACGTGTAATGTCCGCAAAATTTCAGCTCATGTTCTACAATGAACGACAAATCTGTGATGGAAAATTATCTCCGTTTCAGCTGATACTTGTTTGCATTCATGATACAGGAAGATTCACAGCAATATTTACTAGCCAACGTTTTCCTCCTTTCGGCCTATTTTGTTTGTGATTTCATGTTTTTATTCGAATGAGACAGTGTAATTTGAATCGAATTTTTCTCTTCACAGGCCGAATTTATAGGCGCAATTGACACTTCTGCCACGATGACAATGAACAACTCTATGTCAAAAATGAAAATTTTTAAATACACCTACATGAAATAAAAAAAAAAAACAAGGTGAACTTGAAATTAAGGATACAAGACGGACTGCTTCATGCCTTGATATTTTCCTTAAATTGACACAGATTGACGACTTCACACTTAATCCTAAGACCATGATCACAAACGGGATGATTTTAACTTCCCAATTCTCAATTTCCCCTTTCCCAGCAGGTACATACCCTTTGCTCCGTCGTATGGTGTTTACATATCTCATGCAATTGATACGTTATGATATGCTCTTGCATGTTCACACTATACTGACTTCATATACAGAAAAAGTGTGCTCTTTACGCAGAAACTGCTTCAACAGAGTTATAAGGTGGAAAAATAAAAAATGACACTCCGTAAGTTTTATGGACACCATCACAAATAGGTTGATATATACGATGTGTCGGTGACTAAACTAACTAATGACTAATTGTACCATGTTTACTACGTTTTAGATTGTGGTTCAACATCTATGTCGTCTGTCTTCGTCTGTCTTTTCCCAAATATGACTGTTATACCGAGTGTGAATTAACATTGCTACACGACGCGTCTCGGTATTTTGTACATACAACATGCATGTATTTATTTTTGATGTTTTTGTTATCGTTTGGGTTGGATATTTTGTTATGTCTTATCGTTTGTAGTCCAAATATTTATTAAATTGCCTTTCCATAATACCATTGAAGATTGTTTGGACGAGGATGGTAAAAATTATTGTATAAAGTTCGAGATTGCTTGTTAGTTACATAAGTGCGTCACTGTTTTTTTTATATCATGTGGTCTTTATCGTTGGTGGAGTATAAAATAAAGGCAGCAGTAGTATATCGCTGTTCGAAACTCATAAATCAATAGAGATAAAAACAAATCCGGGTAATCCGAGTATGTTCGTTGTTCTTCTGCGGTTTACATGTTGTGTTGACTATTTAATTTATACCAATTGTTTGTCCGTTCTTATGTTATGAATGTTCTTTCGTGCGTTTGGGATTTATTTCTGTCATAGTTTTGTCATTTTAGCGATATTTTTTTTTAACATTGTCATGAAGCGGGCTAACTAATAACCCATATTAAACCCGCCATTTTTTCTTGAAATATCCTGTACCAAGTCAAGAATTTTGCAGTTGTTATAAAATAGTTTGCTTCTATGTATGTAAGCGTTTGTTTTTGTTGCACTTCCGTGTTTCTGTTGTATCTTCGTTTTCCTCTCTTATGTTTCCCCCGGTTTTAGTTTTTAACCCGAATTTGTTTTACGGCTTTTGAACACCATTATACTACAGTTGCCTTTATTGTGCACAAAAAAAAAACAAAACCGTGACAACACATTCTGTCAAAAACAAACGTGGAGAATCAGGCATAAAAGCTGTTACGCTTGAACTCTTTACTAATGAAATAATGCACAGACGGCGGTGTTATTTCTAAGAAGGTAAATCAGTGTTAATGAGATTTTATTAAACATAAGTATACTGGCATAATATCCACTAAACTAGACAGGCAAACTTTTCTAAATGATATTGGTTACACCGCTAATGTACATTTTATATGTTTTAAGATATCAAATTCTTCCGGTGGTATTTATGTTTAATGCACTGTTTAGTTTCTAATATATTTTTAAATGTAGTAGTCCGTGTAAATATATGGGCTTAAAAACACAGGTATTACATGTACATAGCATCGATTCACAATGGCAATAATGAAGAGTACATATATATTGTAAAAATTATTATAATATACGAAAGCAGTATTGGTGAACATGGTTAACAGTTAATTACATTTACTATCGGATTTAAGTCAAATTACCAACATTTCTACTGACTGTGTGTATTTTTTGCCATCAACATGATCAACTTTGCAGTGCTAACATATCTTTAATTTTTATTCAAAATATTGAATCGTCAACAAAAATATTTGACCACATCAACCATCATTGACCATATTCACACTTCATTACGTACGAAAATGATACAGACGTGTTTCTTCCCTTTCATTCAGTAGACCGGTAACTAACATAATGCAATATTTAATATTGGTTTAAATCGTGTATTACAAACCTGTTCGTGCATTTTTTTATTGTTATTCAAAGCAAAATAAGTATCTAAGATACCTGGGACGATCTAACTACACAAAAGATCTCTTTTGTTTACTTATTTTACCTCGAACTTATTAACCCGGTATAGGTCTTTAAGTTGCAGGTTTATTTACTAAAACACCTAAATAATTTATGTAACTGAAAGGTCTCAATATCTTTTTCTTCCGATACCCAGAATAAAGTTGTTTTTAGAAAGTAAGAATACAATAAATCTTCAACATCATCGAATTTGTTCATGATACGTTTTAATGTTAGTTTGAGAAGACCGTAACATAAGAGTTGGGTGAAATTGAACGAATGATCAAGTTGTTTTTCTCCCATTGTGAAAGATAATCTCCATAATAAGTGATGATCTAAAACAGTCCTTGGTCTAATAGGAACTAACAAACAACCGTAATTTATGATCCTGTCAATTACATTGCTTTCTATGACGGAATGACTAT